ACCCTACCAATGAGAGGGAAAAGGAGATTAATGAAGAGATTATCGGACAAATTAGGCTTACCTCTTCTTCCCAATATAGATGAAAATTAGAACAAATGTGTTATGACTTCAAATACCCCAAACCAACAGTTGTACAGAAGAAGAATAACCCAATCACAATAACCCAATCACAGTTGTGCAGCAGAATCTTCGCCAGGTCATGGCTGGTGTAGTAACAGCACTGGTGCCATCCCATGTTGGGTTGACCTCCTTCTTAGGAACTGTTAAGGGCTGGTGGAACGGCTCAAGTGGTAGAGCACCTGCCTAGTAAACATGAGGCCCTCAGTTCGAATCCCAGTACCACCAACAAAACAAAACAAAAGAACTGCCAAAGTCAACCTGCTCTGGCACCAGCCCAGCCTACCCCATGGCTTCCCAGACAGATGCCTGGTCTGTCTGGTTTCCAGGTGTAACAGTGTTCTGGCACATAGGACATACTCAATGAATAGGAGTGGGTGACTCATTGGAGACCTGAGGCAGGGTTGGTATCTTAAATCTCTTGTCATCTGTGAAAGAGTCTGAGGTTTGTAGTGATGACAGCAGGAGTTAAAGGTCTCACACTCCTGCAATCTGATGGCTATTTTCTAAGGACAAGAATTATGTAAATTTTTTCTAAGGTTTAGCTCCTACCTATAATTTTCTTTCTTAATTAGTCAACACTTTCCATCAGACACTCTTCTAAAAACTTTATGAGACATAACTCAATCATGAGAACCTGTGAGATAGGTACTATTGTAATAATTCCTGCTTTACAGATGAGGGTACAGGGTCACAGAAAGTGTATGAAACTTGCCCAAAGTGACACAGCTAAATGGTTGAGCTGGGATTTAGCCTGTTTAGACTGGATCCAGAGACAGTGCTCCACATACCATGCCTTACTACATTTACCAGTGTGTGGTTGGTTGAATGATGGAGGAAAGAAGAAATCTGAAATCTTAAGTCAGGAGAAAATTAGGAAGGGAGTTTTTTTTTTTTTTTTTTGGTGGCACTGGAGTTTTAGCGTTTCTGGAACTATTTGCTTAGGGCTGACTTCTAACCCGAGATTTTTCTGATCTCTGCCTCCTGAGAAGCTAGGATTACAAGTGTGAGCCACCAGCACTTGGCTGGGAGAATATTTATATAAAAGAAATTCAAATGAGCAGTATTCTTTTAGATACTACATGCATAGTTGATAAAGGACAAAATGTCACTGTATGACTGATTTGAGTACTTAAAAGGATTGTGCTCCTTAGCTAAAAATAAATAAGACTATCAAATTGTGAATCACCTTAAGTACTTAAAAGTAGTATCACCTTCCTGATGTGAACAAATACTATACTCAGTATGAAAATATACAAACTCAAGACTTATTAAAAGCTCAGAATTCCTTTACTTTGTTAGCTGATTTTTATTAGTTTGCTAGGGCAATTATAACAAAGTACCACAAAAGGAGTGGCTTAAATAAGAGAAATTTATTGTCTTACACATCTGGAGGCTGGAAGTCCAAGATCAAGGTGTCAGCAGGGTCAGTTCTTTGTGAGGGCTGTGAGGGAAGGCCCTGTTCCAGCTGTCTCTCCTGAGTTTGTGGATGGCTATCTTCTCCCTGTTTCTCATCAGTTATCTTCTGTGTGTGTGTGTGTGTGTGTGTGTGTGTGTGTGTGTGTGTGTGTGTGTTTCCAAATTCTCCACCCCTTTTGTTTGTTTGTTTGTTTTTGTGGTACTGGAGCTTGAACTCAGGGCCTTCACCTTGAGCCACTCCACCAGAAGGATTTTTCAGGATAGGGTCTCATGGAACTATTTGCCTGGGCTGGGTGTGAACCTTCATCGTCCTGATCTCTGCCTCCTGAGTAGCTAGGATTACAGCCATGAGCTACTGGAGCCTGGCTCCCCACCCCTTTTTAGGACAACAATCATACTGGATTGTAACCCACCCTATAACCTCATTTTAATTTTATTACTTCTATGAAGACCCTATCGCCTAACAAGATCTAAGATATTGTCTTCTTGTGGGGAGGGGGTAAAATTGAACCCATAATCCCAGAATATATAGGGATAAGAACCTGGATCTAAATTCTTGCTCTGCCCTCTATAAGCTATGAGACCTTGTTGTACCTTATTTCCTTCCTTTAAATGAGGATAAGACAGATAGTACCTTCCTCATGTGAGGATTAGATGAATTACTCTGTGTAACATTTAGAATACTGGGTAGTGCTATACATGTGAGATAGTCATTTATTTAAAACATAGTTATCAAATACCTGGTAAGTGCCAGGCACTGTTTGAAGTGCTTTGAAAGATAGAAGCAAATAAAATAGACAAAATACCTATCATCAACGAGATCATAAACTGGTGTGGAAAAAAAGACAAAAATGTAGAACACATAAAATATCAGACAGTAGTAACTGCTATGGAGGAAAAAAATCAAGTGAAACAGGAGCTAGAGACCATTAAGTATTGTGATTTGGGATTAGGAGGTGCCATTTCAGCAAAGGCTTAATAGTGAGAGAAGGAAGGAGGTTTTCTAGGGAAAGAATTTCTTAGATAGAAGAGGGTTTTAGCCAGTGGTACTGGAAAGCACCTGTAATTCTAGCACTTGAAAGTCTAAGGCAGGAAGATTGTGAGTTCAAGCTAGCCTTGGACACACAGCAAGTACCAGGCCAGCCTCAGCTACATACTGAGATCCTATCCCGGTCGTGGCTCAAGTGGCAGAGTGCCTGCCCTGAGTTCAAACTTGAGTATTGCCCCAAATAAAAACCAACTTCCCAATCCCCAAAGTATATGTATATCATAGAACTACCATAATTATATAAAACAAAACAAAAATAAAAGAGATTTTTGGCACCTCAGCACTCTTGACATTTGGGGCTGGATAATTCTCTGTTGTTTGGCTGTCCTGCGAAAGAAGCATCTCAGTCTCTACCCACTAGCATCCTTTTCGAACCTCTCAGTAGTGACAATTTGGCAATCAAAGTGTCTCTGGACATTGCTACATATCCCTTCAGGGCCAAATTACTCCTGGCTGAGAACCACTAAGAGAGAAGAAGAGACAGGAGTGTGCTTAGCTTGTTCGGGGCTCACCAAGGAGGCAGGCAGTAGGGGATGAAATCAGAAAGGGGAGGGGTGAAGCACCTGTGATCCAGGCCATTTTTTAGACAGATTGGGAGCCCATGGTGCGGGGTGTAAAGAGAAAAAAAAAAAAGAGCACAACTTCACCCACATTTTAAAAAGATCTCTCTGACTGACACATCGAGAATTAACTGTAAGTGAAGAGAGAAATGGACAGCCTGATACTGATTGTTGATCCCAAGTTGCTATCCTGGCAAAGTAGATGACTGAAGATGATGGACCAGGAGTTAAGAGTAAAGCGGCACAAAGTTTATTGAAAGGACAGCAAAAGCTCCCTAGCACAGGAGGGGCTTAGGAAAGCTAAAGTCATAGTATAGCTGAAGTCTATGGGGTGATAGAAGGTGCTACCTGGCTTAGGTCCAATTATTCTACCTTGAAATTGTATTTGAAATTGGTTGGCACCAAGTCAGCATCTCACTGAACTTGGCCCCCTGTCTGTCCCGTTCCTTATTGAACAGAGCATTCCAAGAAGGTCTGGTCAGTTGGTCTTGGCCTTGGAAGTCTGCTCAATTCATCCTAGCTTTGGGGCCCACTACCAACACTGTGCAGCTGCATTCTGTTATTTTGGTAACAGAAAGCCTGTTGTTTCCCATGTTTCCCATGTCCTTTTACATGTCTGCTCCTAAAGTGCCTCTCTCATCCAAAATGGAGTCACCTCTGTCATTGTTCCCGTTACAAGCCGGGTTGGGAGGCTATTATAATGATATAATTAATTACTTTTCATTTCTTCTTCTTCCTTCTTTTTTTTGGTGGTACTGTGGTTTGAACTTTGCCTAGTGCTTGCTAGGCAAGCTGTCTAATTCTTGAGCCACTCCTCCAGCCCTTTTTTTTTTTTTTGGGTAAGGCTGGGTTTCACTCTCTGAAAGCAGGAGCTCTACTGCTTGAGCCATGCAGTTCCCATTTTTGTTTTTAAGTTATTTTTCAGATAGGGTCTCACATTTTTGCCTGATGTTGGCCTTGATTTCGAATCCTCTGGATCTCTACTCCTGAGTAGCTGCGATTAGAGGCCTGAGCCACCATGCCTGGCACCACCATGCCTGGCATTAATTTTCTATATCGTTGCTCACTAATTTGTCTGAATGTTGGTGGCAGCTTAGAGAGTTGGGCTAAGACCCCCCGGGGAAGAAAAGAAGATGGAGAATTCGCATAAAAGGAGAACACTGGAGTGGGCAAGGTCATTTTCTTTTTTCATAAATGGAAAAGCAGTTCGGGAATTAAGAATGTTGGGGGTCTGTTTCCCCATAGGGCCTTGCATGCTCTCCTGAGAAACCAAGCTCTAGTTTGTCAGTAATGGAGAGCCTTTGAATTTATGCAGTGAGGAAAAGTCTGCAGCCGGGTGCAGAACAGGAGTCAGAAACTTCAAAATGAGTGTCCTCAGACAATATGGGCGAGATATCACCATCAGAGCCTAGTTTAGGCAGAGGAGGAACCCGGGCACCACAAGCTGAAGGAAGCAAAGGGGTTGATTTCAAGCCTCTGCCTCTGCGAGTCCTGGCCCAGGGAGGAAGCAGGCCTGCATTCGCAGAGTTCTTTCAGGAGTCATACATTTCCATTTTTACATCAAAAGCGCCCTATCAGGTTTAGCACTGCAGTGTAAGTCCACCAAACCAGTCCCACTCAGTTGCTGGCAGGAACAAGGACGCTTGTCGATTTTCTATCATTTTGCACCAGTCCCCACAAAAGACACAAAATACCGGTCTCCTCACCGCCCTTTGAACCCCTTAGTGGCTTGAGGCTGTTAACAGCTGGGGCCACCTCGCCTCGGCCGGGGAGTGGCGCGGCGGGGCGCGGGGCTGGGCGGGGCCGGGCGTGAGGGGGCGGGGACAGGGGACGCGCGTGCCGCGAGGACGCGCAGACGCGCCGCGGTCCCCGCCCGCCGCCCCGCCAGCCCTGTTCTGCGTCCACCCGGCACCGGCAGCAGCCCAGGCTGCGGCGCGACGGTCCCGCCATGTCTGCAGCCATGAGGGAGAGGTTCGACCAGTTCTTGCATGAGAAGAACTGCATGACCGACCTCCTGGCCAAGCTCGAGGCCAAGACTGGCGTGAACCGGCGCTTCATCGCGCTGGGTGGGTGGCCACGCGGGCCGGGGGTCGCTGCCCCGGCTTGTCCCCGGAGCCCGCGGCTGCACCAGCTGCCGGGGAAGAAAGCAAGCGGGGAGAGGGCTGGCTGGGCCGGCGGGGCGGGTGGTCCTCGGGGGCCGCGCTCGGGCCTGCGGGCCATCCCGGGGCGGCCGGGGCCGGGAGCTGACGTGTCGCGGTGCTCCGCGCCGGGCCCCTGCGGGCGGGTGCCGGTCCAGGAGCGGCCTCGCCGGGGAATTCCGGCCTCTGCGGGCCCGTGCAGGGCGCGGCACCCGCGGGGGGGAGGTCAGGTACCCAGGGGGAGGGCCGCGGCTATCCCCCGACCCCAGGCTGCGCCTCACGGGCGCGCAGGCCCAACCTTCGTGGGGTCGGGTTTTTCTCCTTTAGTCGGGTCGGGAGGAAACCGCCTGGAACAGGCCGAGCCTCGCAGTGCGGGCGGGGGTGTCCCGCCAGAGCGCCGCTGGGGCCATCCGACCCACTTGTGTCCTCGTGTCTCCAGGTGTCATCGGGCTGGTGGCCTTGTACCTGATGTTCGGCTGTGGAGCCTCTCTCCTCTGCAACCTGATAGGATTTGGCTACCCAGCCTACGTCTCGTAAGTGGCTCACCCTTTCCCTCCGCAGCTGGCCCCATCCCCGCTGCTGTGGTAGACGGTGTATCCCCGGGTCTCCAGGGAGAGGTGGAGGTCCCCACGCTTAAGGTTACACGTGTGGGCCCCTAACTCGATCCCGGATCTCCTCTGGACTAGCCAGAAGTGTTTTTTCATCAGCTCGCACTGGCGGGTCGAGGAGCCCCGACCGAGTGTTAGAGCTCCGGGCTGTCCTTGCGGGTGGGGGATCGCAACAGGAACCAGCGGGTTGCTACGCCCTGCTTGTTATTTTAATGGGCGTTTCACCATATGTTTATGTCTGTAGACAGTAAAACCCCATCGGTTAGGGCTTCCTTAATTCAGACAAAGGGGAAGAATTTGGACTTTTTGATTTTTAAAAAGTCCAATTATTACAGAATATTTGGAAAATGTGTACTCTAACAAGCCTTGTAAAATTCATCCATTCTGTAGCTCCTTGGTTATGTAAATGATGATTCATTTGTATCATTAAATTTAAAGTGAATTTTATAAGATTAGGAGCTAATGAGATTTTTATTTTACAGTGTGTTTTGAAAATATGCTATAATTTCTCATTTCTAATTTGTTTAAATCGGAGTTATTCCTCTCCACAGAAGAATTTTGTTTTATACTCCAAGAAAGTCTGTGATTCACTCAGTTGATTTCTGCAACTTTCCTTGACCGTAGGGATTAAATAAAGGAAGAAAAAAAGATTAACCTGGGAGGGTAGGATTCAGGTAACATATTGTGTCTGCCATTGTTCAGGGTAGAATTTTAATACGTGACTGGAAGGGAGGAAGTGTTTTTAGAAGTTAGTTGTAGCTTAAGCAATTAAATTGCAAGCCCGTGAGTAGTTGTTACTGTATTGGTCTGGTGCACACCTTTACTCGTACGGGTGAAGTCCAGCTACCTATAGGACACTGCCTGCTTTTGAAGTTGGCAGTCTTCAGGTTGAGAAGAGCTTTACTCTTTCCAGCATTGCCTCCTAATGTACCAGCCAGGTGTCATGTGTATACCAAGAGATCCCCAAGGCACACCTGGAAAACTTGTTTGATAAAAGCTACAAAAGTAATAGTTTTCTGTAAAATTTCATCTCCTGCTAGATGGTATATAGAAAGTTTAAAGGCATTTTAATTAAAAATAGCTTGTACACCATTGTGTCTGTTATCAGAGACACAATAACCCAGTGGTGCACTGGGTTACTTGCCTCCTTCTGTTTGTGTGTTCTACTTCCAGTTCTTTTAGAAAGAAAGATTTTGAAGCATTTTTCTGGTGTGTGGTTTAGATTTTACTGATCACCTTCAGGACTAGTCTTGAGTGATAGTTGTTTTGCTACTTGATATTAAGCCAGAAAATAATATGGATTCTTAAAATTACCGGATTACATAAACTTGCTTTTTTTCAACATCAGTACTCAGCTGAAACATCATCTTCTGTGTTGGTGTGATGAGACTGTGTGAGCTATAGAAAGTTGTTTGTTGCCAGATGGAACACGTGTGTGTGAACATGGATGTGACTGTGACTGGAAATGTGGGCAGAATTAGAATGTGCTTCTCCTTGACCAGAAGTGAATTAATCCCAGCAAGGGCCATTTTCAGTCACATTTTTAAAAATTTCAGTCACATTTTATAGTGTGCTTAAGCCAGCAAATTCAGTTTTGTCATTTGTTTATTATAATTCTTTCATCCATTTCTACACAATCAATTGGGCATTATTAACTCTTTACTTATAAGATGCTAAATGTTAGTCAGTTGCTAGAAATTCTATGAAACAGTAGAGCTGGTCAAATTTCTGAGTAATATAAGGAAGTGAATTTTGCATATTTTAGGATTATTCTCTTTACCGATAGAATTTGAACTTTCTGAGACAAAATGATATGTGTAATACACTTTAATAGGAGTTGGAAAGATATTTAAAAATCTGATAAAGTTTAATGATTTTGATTTAAAAGAATCATTAAATTATCTCTAGATTGGTATTTATTCATAGGATGCTAACTTTTGGTAGGTCCAACTCTTTTATCTTTTAAATAAACATAGGATTCTATGACAATATGAAATTAACTGAAGGTTGGTTTCTGCATACTTGGACTTTTCCCTAAAAGAGTGGTCATTAGATCTGTATACCCATGGGAGTCATTTGAGAAGCTTTAAAAAATGTTGATGGCTGCTTGGATCCCATGCTCATGGACTCTGATGTAATTGGTCTGGATATGGCCTATTTTTTTTTTTTTTTAAAGGCTCCTCAATATTTAAAAATTTTTTTTTTTTCATTTCTTTACTTTGGATTTTATTAAACAAATATTTTTTATGACAAAAATATTACTTAGGGATACTTGAATTCGGAAAGTTCTTAAAGATTGTATTTTTCTTTTTTTTTTTTCATTTTTCTTTTATTATTCATATGTGCATACAAGGCTTGGTTCATTTCTTCCCCCTGCCCCCACCCCCTCCCTTACCACCCACTCCACCCCCTCTCGCTCCCCCCCCCTCAATACCCAGCAGAAACTATTTTGCCCTTATCTCTAATTTTGTTGTAGAGAGAGTATAAGCAATAATAGGAAGGAACAAGGGGTTTTGCTGGTTGAGATAAGGATAGCTATACAGGGCATTGACTCACATTGATTTCCTGTGCGTGGGTGTTACCTTCTAGGTTAATTCTTTTTGATATAACCTTTTCTCTAGTACCTGTTCCCCTTTTCCTATTGGCCTCAGTTGCTTTAAGGTATCTGCTTTAGTTTCTCTGCATTAAGGGCAACAAATGCTAGCTAGTTTTTTAGGTGTCTTACCTATCCTCACCCCTCCCTTGTGTGCTCTCGCTTTTATCATGTGCTCATAGTCCAATCCCCTTGTTGTGTTTGCCCTTGATCTAATGTCCACATATGAGGGAGAACATACGATTTTTGGTCTTTTGGGCCAGGCTAACCTCACTCAGAATGATGTTCTCCAATTCCATCCATTTACCAGCGAATGATAACATTTCGTTCTTCTTCATGGCTGCATAAAATTCCATTGTGTATAGATCCCACATTTTCTTAATCCATTCTTCAGTGCTGGGGCATCTTGGCTGTTTCCATAACTTGGCTATTGCGAATAGTGCCGCAATAAACATGGATGTGCAGGTGCCTCTGGAGTAACAGTCTTTTGGGTATATCCCCAAGAGTGGTATTGCTGGATCAAATGGTAGATCGATGTCCAGCTTTTTAAGTAGCCTCCAAATTTTTTTCCAGAGTGGTTGTACTAGTCTACATTTTTTTTAAAGGCTCCTCAATATTTTAAAATTTTTAAGGGATTCTAATGTACAGTCAGTGTTGAGGACCCAATGTTCGGAGAGTGGCATTAGTAACCACTACACAGGTAGTTCTTTTTGCATGTGAAGATTGGGTGAAAGGGAGGGAAAAATGACCTGCTGGCCCTTGGAATAGTCCAGAGGTCTACCTAGAGTTCTGCTTTTGTGCAGGAGGTTCAAGGAAAAAAAGGATTGTATAGACAGTATAAAGCAAACAGACCTCTAGTTAATAACATTTAGGCAGTCAGTATTCTGTTAATCTAATCAGATCTGTTTGTTGCTTAACCAATGTTTAAAAGAAAAGTCCTTGAAAATGGTGGTTTTTAGTAGTGCTCAAATCTTTGTTGCTTAAAGTGCGATCTATAATTGCCATCTTAGTCCAGTTGGGCTACTATAACAAAATACCTTAGATTGGGTGATTTATAAACAACAGAATTTTTTTGCTCCTAGCTCTGGAGGCTTGGAAGTCAGAAATCAAGGCACTAGTTGATTTGGTGTCCAGTCGGTAGCTTGTTCCCTGCTTCAAAGATGTCACCTTGTTGCATCCTCAGAGGGCAGAAGGGGCAAACAGACTTCCTCAAACCTTTTTTATAAGGGCACTAATCTCATTCATGAGGGTAGAGCGAGCTCTCATTCATGAGGGTAGAGCGAGCCCTCATTACCTAATTACCTCCTGAAGACCCTCATCTCCTAATACTATCACATTGGGTATGAGAATCCATCATATGAATTTGGGGGCACCAACAGTCAGATTATAGCAGTTACCTTCACTTCCATTATTCTCCATGCCTCTTATAATTCTTCATGCTTCTCAGCCAGAGTTCAGAAATTCAGGCTCATCTGTTTAGCAAATATCAAATGCCAGCCATATGCTGGGCATTATAGTATCACTTTAGATATGGTGCAGAATAAGATAGATGTGCTCTTTCTTCTCTTTGAATAAACAATTTGCTTGGGCAAAAAAGGCAAGAAATAGGTCAAATAATAACAGCATGGGAAGCCCCCAAAAGAAAATAAACAGGAAACTGTATAGTAGGGAATAAAAGGAAAGATTTTTGGATACTTATCAGTAATACTATTTAAGATCTGAGGAATGAGAAAGAGCCAGCCAAGAGCAGAGCCAGGTAGAGGAAGTAGAGCGGGCAGGCCCTGTGGCAGCAGACACCTTGGCTCTGTGACAGGGAAGAATAGTGAGGGAGGTACTGGAGAGGCATAGGGGTGCCAGTAGCCAGGGTCAGGACCATGAGTAATGTGTACATTTTATTCCAGACATTTGTAGGGAGTATACATTATTTCTGATTGCTTCGGATGGGTTTCAAATAGGGGTGACATGACACAACTTAAATTTTAAGATAAAGCATAAATGGCTGCTGTGACCTCTGGAAGGAATTGGTAGTTCTGCCAAACTCTTACCAGAGATTTATTTCCTTTTCTCACCTTTCAATTTTGTTCTTGCTGTTCTCTCCCCTGGACCATCTTAGGGAGGGGCATTCTGTATAAATGCCTAGAGACCACAAGATGCAGAAATTAAATTTGGAATAGCTCATTTGGCCTCCTGCCTTTTCTTATTACTCACCCCCTTGGGAGATGCCTGGGCGAAGCTCAGGCCTCACTGAGTTCTGGAGCATGTAGATCTTGGAGCTGAAGGATTGGCCAGTGATCACTGGGGCAGTTAGTGCCTTCCAGTGTATCCCCTTCTC